CCCGCCCCGCGCAGCCGCCAGGTGCTTCCTCCTGCGGCGGCTGGAGGGGGCGGGAAGGGTGGTGGACCACGACAGCCGTTGGGACCCTTTGTGGTCACGGAGAAAGTTTGAAAATACTGAAACTTGTGTTTTACTCAGAGGGAGCACGACTCTGAAACGTGGAGTAAATAAGGCCTGAAGGAAAAGAGTGAGGGAGGGGGATGGGAAGAGAAAGGTGGAAGGTAAAATGTAATACAAAGAGAAGCGGGAGAACCCGTCCCAACCACAATAAAAAAAGAACTTTGAGCTTTACCTGGCCGTTTAATTGTACTCCTTTGAAACTAGAATAAAAAGAAAAGAAAAAAGAAAAAGAAAGAAAGAAAGAAGGAAAGAAAGTCTTCCTAGCTCTCGGGATGGCACATTCGTGTGTTCTTTATAATTAGTCTCAATAATCTTTTCCCTTTCTTGTAAACATTTTTAACACTTGAAGGTATAAGAAAAAGTGTTTTCGTAGAGCCAAATGCTGGAAACTGAGATTATTCCAGTTTTGATTAATATTAGAGAACAATGTTGATGAATCCTTCGAAAATATAGGAAAGTAGAAACAAAGGACAATAATTTAAGAGCAAATGAATTCAAATTGCAAACGCTGTTGTTACATTCTTAAAATAATTGTAATAACTTGAAGCTTTAAAAAACTATTAAAATATTAAGTGTTTTTCATATTATTTTGGCTGGCTCTAGTATCATTATAACCTGTTTTTAAAAGTCTGCTTAAATCATCGGATAAAGACTTCAAAAGAGGACAAGTGAAAAAGCAATTTAAAGATTCAACTAGATTTGATTAATTTTTACAAATAGATATCAAGTCAAACATTATTCTTTTATTGAGCAATAATTTAAATGTGTTGTACTCTCCTATGGTCAGTTGATTAATGCAAATAATCACATTGTTAAAGTAAATACCAGCATAATGTGAATTTTACTTGGACATTAAATAAGCTATTTAACTATTTGATTTTTGACATCTTAAGGAAATCCTATCAGTGTTTTAAATCTGTAAATCTGAGCTAGACCTAATTTTGGAACTTTGTGATCTGTTCAAAAACTTCTCTAAGTAAGAAGAGTAGCACTATCAAATCAGGAACAATTAACCAGATTTTTGTTATCTTCTGCATTTTGTATGTTTTTCAGGAAGTTGCACACTGCCAGCCCCCAGATTATACATTCTTTTCCCAAGAATTATCTAATTGGTTATTGTGGCTTTATTTGCAAAGTGTTCCATTGCCAGGTCTAAATCTGGTACCTAATCAAGAAAAACCTTGTCTTTTTATAACTTGACAGCTGTTTATTAAGTTGTTCATTTCAATAAAGTAAACTGAGTAAGCATGATTATTAAATAAATGACAAACACCACACTAATCTGACTCATAGTATCTGAGTATACATAGAAGATATGGTTTATTTTTATAGCTCTTCAACTCCCTCTCATTTGTTACTGCTCAAAATTGCACTTATTTTATGCTTTGTATACAATTTATTTTTGTATATCGACTTTATATCCTGCTAAATGCATTATTAGTTCTAGCAGCTTTTTTGTTTTTTGTAGATTTCTTAGGATCTGATTTGTACACAATCATGTCATTTTCAAAGAAGGTTTTGTTTGTTTCTTTTAAATATTATTTTTCACATTGACTAGGATCTCCAGTATAATATTGAATAGAAGTGATGAAAGTAGATGCCCCTGCCCTATTCCTGATCTTGAGAAAGCACTCAGTTGTTTGCCATTAAATGTTACAATAGCTGCAGATTTTATTGTGGATGCCCTTTATCAGGTTGAAAAACATTTCTTTTCTGTCTTGCTTCCTGAGAGTTTTTATCACAAACGGATGTTAAATTTTGTCAAATGCTATTTCTACCTCTATTGAGATAATTGTATGATTTTTCTTCCTTATTTTATTTATAAGGCAAATTACATTGATTTTTGAATGTTAAACTAACCTGGAATTCCAAGGATAAACCTTACTTGGGCATATTGTACCACTTAAGTTTTTTGTTAAAAACTGGGATTCTATTTGCTAATATTTTGTTAAAGAGTTTTACAGCAGTGTTCACGAGGGATTTTCATTATTTTTATTTGCAGTTTTCTTAATTGCTATCACATCTGGGTAATGCTGGCCTTAAAATCAGTTAGGAAGGGTTCTTTCCTCCTCCTCCAAAGAGTTTTTATAGACTTCCTGTTATTTTTTTCTTGAAAGCTTGTTAGCATTCACCAGTGAAGCCATCTGGGCCTAGGAAGATTTTTAATTACAAATTCAATGTTTTAATAGATGGCAGGCAGTTGACACTTTCTCTTTCTTTCTTTTTTTTTTTTTTTTGATCCTGCCTCAGGTTGGTTTGTACAAACAGCACAGGTAGACATGAGCCCCATGCAGACAGCAGCCCAAGGGTCACACTAGTCCTTATATCCTCACATCAACAGATGAAAGCCTCTACTCTGGAGCCTTTGTAGGGGCCTGGGCGCCTTTGGGAGCCTGAGCCTGAGCTGCAGCTGCAGCTGAAGCTGCGGCCTTGGTCTGAGCCTCGTCCTCGGCCTTTGGCCGACAGAGCCTGAGACCCTTGGCGATGCGGGCACGAGCACGTTTCCCGAGCTTGGGGTGAGCAGTGCAGGCAAGTCGACTGAGCTCGCAGTTGCTGCCCTGTGGGATCTTGGGCTCCACCTCCTTGGGCTTTCCGAGAGCCTTAACGGCCTCAGCACGTGCGCTCGTGGCCTTGGCGTTGTTGGCCTGCATCTTCTTCAGGCCCTTCTTGTTGTGCTTCTAGGCAAAGCGCATGTTCCTCAGGAACTTGGGGTCCACCCACTTAAGAGATTCCTATCGTTGTGATCGGGGTTTTTTGATGCCGTTTCTGTGGCGTTTTCGGGACTGGCTGTATGCGGTGTGGTTCTTGGACTTGACCATGTCTGCACAGGAGCCGGGAGATCCCAAATCGCCTGGGACCAGAAGAGAAAGAGGGAGACTTTCTCTCTCTTTTTGTGTCTATTTCAATAGTTGTGTCTTGTAAGGAATTTTTTCCATTACATCTAAATTGTCTAATTTATTGCCATAAAATTGTTTTCAGTATTCCCTTATATCCTTTTAATATCTGTAGAATGTGTAAAGATATCTTTTCTTTTATCCCACTTATAGGATCCTCTCTCCTTTTTAAAAATTACCAGTCCAGCTAGAGATTTATGAATTGTATTGCTTTTTTCAAAAAGCAATTTTTGAAAGCGATTTTAATTTTTATTGATTTTCCTCTATTGCTTGTCTGTTTTCTATTTCATTGGTTTTCTTTCTTATGTTTATTATTTTCCTTCTTATACTTATTTTGGGTTTAATTTGCTCTTTTTTCTTACTTCCTAAGGTGAAAGCTTAGATCAATGATTGTAGACCTGTCTTCTAACACAACCATTTAAACCTATACTGTTCTCTCTAAGCACAGTTTTAGCTGTATTCCACATATTTTATGTGTTGCATTATATTTACCATTCAATTAAAAATGTTTTTTAGTTTCTCTTATGATTTTTCGTTGACTCATAGGTTATTTACCAGTGTGTTGTTTAATTTCCAAATATTTAGAGATTATCCAGATATTTTTTTCTCATTGATTTCAAATTTAATTTCAGTGGGATCAGAGAACAAACTCCGGGTAATTTCAATCCTGAATTTGTCAAGACTTGTTTTATAACCCAGCATATGCTCTATCCTGGTGAATGTTCTATGGGCACTTAAAAAGAATAACTATTTTGTGAGGTGGAGTGGTCAGGTCGGTTGATGGTATTTTTCAGGTCTTTTGAATTCCTTCTGATTTTGTATCACTTCCATCAGTTCTTGAGACAAGATTGTTGAGATATCCAGTCTTAGATTATACCACTACTGTTTTACCTTACTTGCTTTGTCACATACCTATCCATCTATCTACCCACCTGTCTTATTATTTTGGTGCATTTCCAAGTCAATTGCAGACTTCAGTACATATTTTTTTCTCTAACTACTTCAGTATGTATATAATTAACTAGAGATCAGTGTTTGTTTAGAGGGTTGGGTTTTTTGTGTGTGTGGTGAAACAATAAGAAGAAAGAAATTTAAGTGTAACATTAAATGAGTTTGACAAATTCAGGCACCTGTGATATGATTCTTATCAAGATAAATATAACTGTCATTTTCAGAAAGTTCCATTTTTCTCTTTGAAATCAGTTTCTATTTTTCTCTTTCCAGTCAATCCCTGCTCCCTCCAGATGCAGCCCCAATTCTAATGTTTTCCCCCCACCATATATTAGTTTGCCTATTTTAGCACTCAAGGCCAGCTTCATGGGCACACAACCTACACAGTCACATAAGACCCCTTGGTCTTAGAAGGCCCCCCACTTGGTATAATGCTCTACTGTAATAATCTTGAAATTCTTATATTTTAACAAGGAGCTCACACTTTCATTTTGTACTGGGCTCTGGAAATTATGTAGCTGGTTCCCACTAGAACTTTCATATTAATGAAATAAAACCATATATAATTTTTTTGTGTAAAGGTTCTTTTGCTTAGCATGTTTTTGAGATTCATGTGTCCCATGTGTTGATAATTTGTTCTATTTTATTAGTGAGCAGAATTCAATTGTATGCCTATGCCATTTTTTTTTTTTTTTAATTCATTCTCCTATTGACGGCCATATGGGATATTTCCAGTTTGGGGCTATTAGGAATAAAGTTGCTATACACATTTTTGTTACGAATCTTTTTGTAGACACAAGAATGCCTTAGACTGGGTATCTCAGCGTGAGGCACTATTGGAATTTTGGATAGGATATTCTTTAATATATTTCAAGGAGATGAGCTTCTACCCACTCAGTTCCCTCAGTCATTTGGACAACCCAAAAAGGCCTGCATACGTTTACACCCTCTGGGGAAGGCATGCCACTTCTGATTAAGAGCTACTGCCTTAACAGTAGGCCTTGATTTCAGCAACACATTTGACCTAATTCAGTATTGCTGTAGGTAAGATAGAAAAGTGTGGACTATACACAGGTATGCTGAAAACAATGAAATGAGGTCAATGGGAATTTGGTGATTGAAGGGGAAGAGCTTAGGGCAGGAGTCCGCTCATGCACTGCCTTAAGGAATGGTAAGGAGTTTGAACTTTATTCTAATGTGAGGAGAGAAGCACCATATCAACATGATTGGTTAATTATTGGATAATTTATTGCTTGGATTACTTGGATCACTTGTATTAGGCAGTGTCTGCCAGGTTTTCCCTCTGGGAAATTGCTGTGTTTCCATTTTCATACTCTCTTCATTTGGAGTCAGTCACTATATCTAGCCCACACTCAAGGCAGGGACACTAAGTACCACCTACTGAGTGGAGGAATATAAAAGAAATTGTGGACATATGTTAAAACCATCAGAGTTATAATAAATTCTGGGGGAGATATTTTGAAGCTATGTAAACATTCTATTTTTTCCTTAAAGCTTTGCAATGTGGGAGATTTTCAGGAAAAAAGGAAAAAGGAAAAAGGTCATTTTAGAGTGAGAAAGTAAACTTGCCTGGAAAACTTGATAGGACTTGCCAGGCAGTATGCAGTGTGCATTTGACATTTAGGATCACCAATTCTCAAAGTGAAAATCCATCAGCTACGCTGTGTGATTTCCTCCAGCAATGACTAGTTTGGATCTGCTTGGGTGCAGGCTCTGAGGAGGTAGAAAGTTGGGTTCAACCAGAATGGGATATTTCAGGCCAATTTAACAAAAGAAAGAAGGACAAGATTGTTATGGAAGATGTTTGCAAAAGTGGGATGAAAATGCTGGACCATGGGATTAAGCAGGATTTGGAAGAGAGGGCAAGTGGCTACCAGTAGCTGCCAGACAGGGTTGAAGAACTCTGGCAATGGGAGTTCTTGAGTAAGTGAGCTGGAAGGACAGGAAGCAATAAGAGGGGCTTCAGAGGTGCTGGATATTTAGAAGGAGGAAAGGAAAGAAAGCGTTTGGGAGTGGCAAGCAGAACACCCACTATACTCCCTGGCCCTGAGGTGCCTGGGAGGGCTGCTCAGGACATGGGATAATCAGAGACCACCAGGTTCACTTACAGCCAGGAGATGGAGGGAATGTTCAAAGAAGAGGAAGCCACCAGGGTGTTTAATAATGTCGGATCTGGAGTTGCAAAGGACACAGTGGAAGAGTTTGGGGAGGGCAGGGAGGGGTGGATCAGCTTAGGCAATGAGCTCAGAAGTTCCGGGGGGAGTGTCCAATGTTGATGCCAGGTCACCTAGAGGACTTGTTCTTCTGGCAGTGACTGAGCCAAATGAAATATAAAGCAGGACAGGATCAGCCTGACAGGCTCTTGGAGGGAGATGGGAAATCAGCCCAAGCTGTGTGGATTTTGAATAGTTAGTAGGAAGGCCCAGGAGCGTCAGGAGTGTAGTAGTGGTGGCAATCTCGGGACGGGTGGAAGTGCTCCCTCTGGGAGGATATGGTAAAGTAGGGGCTATGGGGTGACTGATCTTAGCTAACAACTACCTGAATGATTGGGTTATGATCATTAGTAAGTATTGGGCATTTACTTTTTGTATGACTTAACCATTCAACAGTGTAAAAGGAATACAGAGTTCTTAGAGACAGTTGAGAGAGGAACTGGGTGGTTCTAGAAAGTGTGTTCTGGCCCAGACAGAAGGAAATAAGAGTGTGGCAAACAGAGATGGACCTTAACCTTTGCCTTATCAGGATCAGAGAGGGGTGGGGTCTTTATGATGGGTTATTTATGGTGTTGGCAACAGCCCGGATGAAACGTGAGAGCTTTTTTCAGACAGTGTTCATGTTTAATGACATCTCTGAAGCAACCAGACATACATACACAATTGTGAGGAAGTTCCCTTTCCTGGTAACTGGACAGGATCCAACAGGACCCTGGCCCTGGGTTCTCATGTTGCTGGTTGAGAACGAAAGCACTGGCAGCTTGCAAGCCATGATAAGAAAACACCAAAGGAAAAAAAAAGCACACTTAGATTGCTTTCCTTTCTGGAATTATCTGTATGTCCCAATAAGGACTCCTGGGATGTCCCTAGAAAATTGAGATGTGTGAAAAGAATGAACTAAATGTCACAAACTTCATTTTATTGTTACTCCTACTCAGGATGGGTGAATTATCAAGAGTCATAGTCCAGCTGAACTGTATGCAACACACACCACTGTGTGCGATACTGACTCAGAATGTACCCAGTTTGATAATGTCCCAGGGAGTCTGGGCTGTCCCCTGTCCCAGTGCTAAGGATCAGCAGTCACTGAGTGAGTAAGAGGGAGAACCATTGCCTTGAACTGGTAGAAGGAAGTGAAAGAAGGAAACAAAGAATGTGGATAGAGGAGGAGGGGAGGGAGGATATGTCACTTCTCTGTTCGTTCCCTGTTTGTGAAAAAAGAGAAGGGACTTCCAGAAGTGTATAGGGAAGTCTTGTGATAAAGTAATGACCACATTTCCATTTCCACACAAGATTTCTTAGGTGAGCTAGCAGCAGGTTATAATAGCGGTAGTGGTGATGTTGGTGATCATGGTATAAAGTCCTGTAGAAAGCAAATCTACATAGTCAGCAGCTGATGGAACTGGAATACAGCTTGGAGCTAATGGGTGGTGAGCTGACTCACACACTTGGAGCACTGTTAGGGACCTATTTCTGTCTCCTCTTTGGTCAAAAAGACAGCCCAGAAAAAAACAGCATGTGGATCTAAATGATGCAAATAGCTCAAAGAATAGCTCAGGCTGATGAAGGGTTAGTAAGCCATCTTGACATGCAGGACATCACACTCTGCCTCCATGCTTAGGTACAAAGTCTTTCTAAAAGAATACAGCAGGTCTGTTGAATGGAGATTGCTAACCAGTGAAATTATACAAGCACAGATAAGGAGACAGCCATAGCTTATATGTCAACCAAGCTGGTTCACCCCTGTAGAAATAGTCCATCTGAAAGCACATGTAAATTTATTTGATGCCTGTTTTGGGGCATAAAATGGGGGCAAAATGTGAAAGTTGGCCTATGAGTAAACTTTAAGGGGATCCAAAATTACCTAATGGTATTTCAGAACCACTTGGTGGGGAGGGACGATGAAGTGATTCTGTCTTAATCAACAATCAGACTGTGAGGCTCTGGGTCTGTGGAGATTCAGTTTCAATAAGACAGGGTTCTTAGGGTTCTCAGTCAAGGAGTTTCCAACCA